AGATAATTTGGTGTAAACAAGATGGGCTCTTCGTGTACCTGCTACTGGCTGAGGTGTGTGTTAGCGTTCCGCTGGCCTCTCTGTGATTCAGGAAAGTGTGATACTAGGCTAATGCTAGCCGTTTAATCCCACTGAGTCAGCAGCCGGACCAGGCAGTCCCAGTTTCAGCCTGCTAATCCCCCCCTTCAGATTAAATCCTCAGCGCTGCTCAGTTCAGTGACGCTCGTTGAGCCTGTAGCTTATCAGACCCATGCTCCTCACGAACGGCCCAGAGACTGAACCTGTCCTTTGACTGGGACGCTTTGCCTCGTCTGCTGGACGTAATGAAACAGGCCTCATTAAATCTGACTTGGTTTATTGACCTGAACTCGTTTTCCCTCATCTGTGGAACATCAACAACATCTGAGCCAAAAAGCAGCCTGTGGTTTATATAAGACGTCTTAACTGGGATCCAGAATGGATCACAGAATGGGAACATCTAGGGTTTCACTTCAGTGTTCCTGCTTTGGAGAAGCAGATGCTGTCCTTCCATCTTTCCTACCATGAACCATTTTTAGACTTATAGGAACCCTGCCCTGCTGTCTTGATAGCACCCTAAAGGCATGATGGGCATCAGAGGTTTTCTCCAGCTCATGCAGTCTGTGTTCCATTCTGATCTCTTTGGCCGGTTTCTGCTTTTAATCTTCTTCCTCCAAGTTTCAGAGCTAAAAAACTAAGTGAAAGGTCAAAGGTTGTCATTTGTATTCAGTTCTGTCTTCATAATGATCCACTACGTTACTCTGAACATGAACCTACCTGCTGATTCTGCTGGTTTTCCATCTACTGCCTTCTATCATACATCTCCTTTCTCCTCAGGCACTGGCTGGCCACCTATTTTGTCATTTGGTACGGCGTTCCCTACATGACATACGACATCTTCGCCATGTACCTCAGCCACTACTACCGCTACCACGTCAAGGGCCACGAGGACTACAAGCAGCACTCGCTGAGGACCGTCAACTCCTTTGTCCGGAGAGAGTTTCTGCTGGTGCTGCACCACATCGCACTGCTCACCATCCTGCTGCCTATCACACTGGTACGGAGGGGCGGGAGGGGTCCTGAGACAGCAGTGATGAGGCCAGTAGTTCAGGCCAACAATTAAAAAAGCTGGATGCAGGCAGGCAGCAGCAGCTCGGCTGGTGATAAATCTGCAGCTTGACGCATCAGGATTAGATGTTGCTGACGCACCAGGAAGCACCTAGAGAGGAGAAAACGTCCAAACAGGTTCAGAAAGTCAGGAAACACCACAAACACATGAATTTAAACTCATAAAACTTAAAGTTTCTAACAAGAGTTTGTACATTTTGGTGATTCACACTTTAATAGAACAAAATACTTTTTACAGCAGAACCTATATATATTATTTTTTTATGGGTTTTTTTTTACATGCTACAGTTCCACCCAGAAACTTTGTATTCATGTGTTTCTGGTACGTCCATAAATCTGACACACAAGCTGCATGATCCGCTAACAGCAGCGATGGATGAAAATGTCATTTTTTAAAATTATATAGTTTTTGATTAAACTGGAATTAACTGAAATTAACTGTTAACATTTTAATGGACTCCCAACACTAATTACATGCAAATATACATAAACTTAGCATTATTATTGTAATCCAACAAATAAATTAGCTGCTCGCTCTCCTGAGTAGCGCCAACAACTAAAAATTACTAACTTATAACTAGATGTCTGCGTGTGTGCGGTTGACAACGGTCACCAACTTTGCAACTTTGTCACTATATTTATCAACTTTTCAGACAATAAAATCTGAATCGGCAAGTCAGTCTTTTTGAAAGATCAACAATTGGTCGACACCTAGCACTGGCCAACCAGGATGAAGGGAGATCATGGTTGATTGTTTTCTGTTATTGTAAAAAGCCGTCTACAAAAGTTCTCCTGATGTTTCCATGTAGGAGAGAGAAAGTTGTCCAATGAATGTGATCAGATGGTTAGAAAATCTGATCAATAGTCCTGAGGTTGATGATTACTTCTGATGAGTAAAAGTCATGTGATTTTTCCGTAAACCTGCCTGCCAGTAACCCATTAATGCAGGAGCTCTGATGCGTTGCAGTGGTTTGAAATCAATCTACGCATAAAACTGCATTACCTCCTAATGATTGCTTAAGTGGCAGCAGAAAATAGACCCAGAACTCAATGTCATGGATTACCTATGAAGTACCGATCAGACGCTGTGAGACCGGCCGGCCCGGGTGGAAATAAGGCGGACAGAGCCTGGAACAAGGAGGCGACTAAAAATAGCAGGAGCATCACTTTGAATGCAGACTTTACATCTGATGGTAGAACTCATCCCTGCTTTTATTACTGCTCACCTTTCTCTGTTCTGAGATACTCCGTTGAGATGAAAATGAAATTAACTGAGTCAGTTTGGTTTGTAGACTGTCTAGTGCGCTTTGATCCAACTCCAGTCCGTTTGTCTAAAAAGTCCGGTTCGTTTGGGGAGATGTGAATGTGTAATTGGACTCTGTTGCAGATAAAAAAAAAATAATTCAAACTTCGGTCTGGGTTCGGTTGAAGTTAACTCTAGTTTGGTTTGAATGCACATGAGAACGCCAAGTGGACCGGAGACCGCTCTAAAAGCAGGAAGTGGACTACAGCGCAGGGCATTCTGGGTAAATACAACTAAAACAAACGTGCTAGCCTAGCGCTAGCATGAGAAATGGCTCACAGTTTTTAGCTAAAGCCTAAAGAGAAATCCTCCAACCTGACGCCTCCATTTTAGTTTCCATTTGGTGAAGAAGGAAGTTGCGCCCTGTGTCTTCAGAGGTTTTTGTGTCGCTTCCTTCAGTGGTTCTTGATGCAGCGCCCCCACAGGTCAAGAGGGGAACAGGTTGCTCAGAGGGTTTGGTTGGTTTGACTCAGAGCAGAGAAGGAACCACAGCAGCTGAAGATGGATGCGGTTAAGTTTCACTTTCTGCTCTTCAACAGACATGTCTCCTCTCCAGTCAGCTGTAAAACCAGACTGTCCTACAGGTTGAACATTTGCTTGAATAAATGACCCGATATTATTCTGATCACGTCTCTTTCCGTTAATGATTCAGTAATGGAATCATGTAACCATGACTTTTGGACCTGTTGGTTTTCTGTTTAGCTACTACACCTAGCAGTGAATTATTCATCATGCAGGAAGATCATTTATACTAAAACCAGCAGCTAATCTGGATACTTGTCGCTTATAAAATCTATCCTTATGGATTTTATGAGGTAATTTTAGAGATTGATCAGAACTAGTTTCATGTTTATCCTGACTGCCGGGCAGGTTGGTGGTCCAGGTGGAAACCAGGCCTTTGTTAGCAGTCTGTGCTCTCAGATCACATTACCCTACATTATTCAGCTCCAGCTGCAGTTGGCCTCTCTGTTTGAAACGCTCCTCCCCGTTCTTTGTTTCTACTCCTGTTCCCTCACTCATCAGCTTCATGCCAGTTTGGCCACAAAGTCCCACTCTGAGAGGAGGGGAACGTGCTGGGATGAATGGAAACCTCCCAGTATGAAGAACACCGAGCACACGTCCTGGAACTGAATCCTGGAAAAACATTTCAGAGGAACTGGAGCAATCAGACGATCATTTATATGCTTAAATTCATTTAGTTTAAATTATTTATTCTGCAAATAATAAACAACCAAAAACATGGCCACCTGTATGAATTATAGTTGCTTATTTTACATAGTATAGGATAAAATGCTAAATTTTATCCTATAAGAACTAAATGTTTCATCTTTTTCGTGAGTAAATAAAAAAAAAATTAATTGAAGATTTTAAGAGGAAGATGGTCCAAACTACCCTGGTCATATGAAAAGTAATACTAATTAACAACAGTTTTTGGAAAAGTAAGTTCAGTTTCTATCAGGATGTTCAGTCCTGACTGCCGGATCAGAAGAAATCTCTTCATTAGAACCGGACTGGCAGCATGAAGCAGGCTGAAAGATTGCAAGAAGCGGGGGGGGCCTGCTTCCACTTTGGAGTAAACCTTTCTCCTGGCTCCAGGTTTTTTATCAGCAGCTGACGGCTCTGCAGTCGGTTTCCTGATCCTCATCAGCTCTCGGGTTGATGCTGAATCTCATTTTTGTGGCAGAAAATTTGAATGATTCCCTGAGCAGATGGAGCGTCTGATGGGAACCACAGATAATCCATTGTTACCTGTGGCTGTAGGCAAATCACAAGCGCTAATGTCTCAGGTGGAGAAGTATTTACACCCTAAACTGCCTCCGTTTTGCTTTTTTCATCACATTTTAGCTTCTTCTGAACAAACAGAAAAGCTGTTTATAGATTGTGATTTTCATTTATTAAAAAATAAAAGCTCTAAAGCAACCCGGTGCTAACAGGAATGTTAGCGCACGCTACGCTGGTCTTCAGTAGAAACAGCCTGGTTAAAGTGACATCAACATATCATAATTAAATTAAAGGATTTAAGTCTGTACTTTAACTAGGCCACCTAAGGGGTGTTTTCACCAGTAGATTTGTTTCAATTTTAGACCAAAAATTCTTTAATTCTGTAAAGAACACAACGCACATTTTAAATATCCAAAATAAAGCACAACAACCAAAAACCATAAACAAAATGGAAATGAAAACCAAAACCAAATATAACAAACACAACTAAAACCATAAACAAAATGAATCATGATTTCTAGGGGTATGAGAATCCTTGTTAAATGACGTTTAACTAAAGTCCTACGGGGTTTAGAGTCCCAGTTGACGGCGTTTCAACTACAAACCTAGAGGTTGGAGTCCCTGTCAAACGGTGTTTTTGACTAAAGTCCCAGAGGGTTAGAGCCCCAGTTAAACGACATTTAACTGAAGTCCTAAAAGGGGTGCGGGTTTTAATGTTTTGATCTTTTTTAATCTTTTTCAAAATGTCTTTCTCTTTCTCACTGTTTATTCAATGTCACATGCTGTTTTTATTTTAGTTATGTAAAGCACTTTGAAATGCCTTGCTGCTGAAATGTGCTATACAAATAAAATTTGATTGATTGATTGATTGATGCCCTTTAAAAAATATCAATCATTAGAATTAAATTGAAAATGATCACGTTCATTTTAACTTGCTATGCAGTTAATCGATTAATGAATTTATTGCGACAGGCTTAGACAAGCCTCTGTGTTCTTTTGGGTCAGCAGAGGTTCTGGCATTCAAACTCTTCCATTTTTGTCTCTTTCTTCTTGAATCATGACATTTGACCTGAACTGGGTCAGTGAGGCCTGCAGGTCTTCAGATCTTATTCTGGATGAATCGTTGAGAGAGATTCTGTTGGCTCGGTGTGTGGATCCTGGTTCTACTGAGGTTCTCTGGACTTCCAGAACCTTTTAGGTGGTTCTGTAATCTGATGGACGTCACAGATTTTGCTTCTGTTGTTGAATTTCTTTGGTTTGGGACCAGATGTGTTGTGCTGCTTTTCTGGATCTCTAAGCCTACTTCCTGCTGCCAGACAGGTTCCGATCCAGTGATCCCTTCGTTCTCCAGCTGCAGCAGCAATCAGACCCGGGTGTGTCTGCTGGAATTAAACCCAATATTGAGGTTTAGTTTAATTATATAAGCGATAAATACTTTCCCACGCTGGGCCAGGTTGGTTTGAGATACTTTTTTCTCTTTTATTTAAAATAATTTAAAATCATTTGTTGTATATTCACTTACTGTGATATGTTTCTCAGTTCTGCCTGACCAGTCGCCAGGCGGCTCGGTAAGAGCCTCTGGTGGTTGGTCCTCTGGTGACAGATGGTGAAGCCTGGCCTGCAGGCTCATGGTTTATTGATCCAGCCCAGCTGCAGGCGGGCTTGTCTTTTGTCTTCAGGCTCTTTATCCACCTGGCCTGACTCACCTGTTCTGGGGGCGGCGTCAGTCACCGCTGCTCAATATTTGAAAGCTTCATTCATTACTTATAGCCGGGACGCCACAGCTGGCTGCACTGCGGAGGTGTCGCCTTAGTGAAATTCAAAACAAGTGCAACATTGAATAAAACCTGATTATTATTATTTTGTTTTTTCTTAGGTAGTAGTATGGACGTCACTGTGTGTCATTAGAATGTAAATTTTATTGATCTCTGAGAATGTATTATACTATTATCATTATATAGCCAGGAAATGGTCTCAAAACAACAATATTATCGTTTATTGCTGTAACGGAACAATTTATCGTCCCGCAAAAATTGTTATTGTGACAGGTTATTGTGACCGATTATACCCCCACAAACATAAATACTGCTCTTGAAAATTATCCCAGTATTTATAAAATGCTTTAAGAAAACTTAAAGAAGTGTGATTTGTATTACTAAAACTTCAGACAGTAACTGTATTTAATAATATGTTCACATTTATTGGTATTTATTGATGCTTTCATTAAACAAAAAGTGGTTAAAATACTAAAACTAACAATTGAAACAATATGGACAGATTGGGGCGTCTTAAACATCATCAACTGGAATTTATTCTAACAACAATGAATCAAAAATTATTATGATTTTACTACAATAAATGATAAACTATATAAAACAGCTATGCGCAAATACCTGAGACTCAGTCTAAAAACACTTATAAAAATCAGACGCATTAATTCGCAGTAAAAGGCAATAAAAGTGAAAAGGTTCAAGGGAGTGTGAAAACTTTAGTGACACTTTTTTTACAGTCATATTTTTATTGACAGCAAAGTGGAACTGAAGTTTAATTCTTTGTGCAGAAACTTGGTGAATAAAGCTGGTTCTGATTCTGGATGCAGTATTTATATCCTGATTGGTTGGAAAAAAATCTGTCTGTGACTGCGGTTTATCAGAGTTGATCAGGTGCCAAAACATGTATTTAGCAAAGTCATGGGAGGTTTGAACCTCACAGCTCAAGTCATTGTTTGTTCATATTGTAATGCGCTCAGATCGGTCTCACGCTTCGGTTGGTGGAACAAAAATAACGCCATAATAATAAACCTTCAGTTTATTACCAAAACTGAGAAAGTGAGATGTTTAAACACCCACAGCCCTCATGGTTGTGACCCCCATCCTACAGATAATGACCGGGCCACCATTGAAGCACCTTTAAGGTTGTGGTCTCTAGAATATTAAAAAGCTGCAAAAAAAAAAATCTAGAAATTTTTCCTTTTTAGAATTAGAACCTGAGGGAACCCTAGTTTTAGTTGTTCTGTTTCAGCTGGAACGTTTATTTGCCTGTAGGAGTAAAACTGAGGAACGAGTCGGGACTTGATGCTCTGACTGCGGAGGGATTTATCTCTGAATGTTGGCCCGATCGAACCAGTTCAGCTGCTGCTAACAAGACTAACGCCACCGCAAGTTGGGTTAATTGGTTAAAGCTACAAATGTTTAAATTTCGCAACACAACATAAACATAGAATGTCACCTTCAATGACATCTTCAGTGTCAGAAGTCTTAATTCCACTTCTACTTCTCCTCAAACCATGTCATGGTGAACCTGGAGCGTAGCTTGGGTTCATTGTCCTGTAGGAAGGTCCAAAGATCCTCAAACTGTAACTCCCTCACCAACAGCAGGACATTTTCTCCTGGTATTAAATCATCTGGTTCCCCAAATGATGCCTCTACGCCTCCACCATGCTTCATTCTTCCCCCAGACAGTCCACTGATCTATAAACCGAACGGTTCCACAGAACAGATCAGCTGAGTAAGCACAGGCCGGTGCGGTTCAGTGTTTCCCAGTCCGTCTACTGGTGAAATGAATGTTTGTTTGTTTTTCTACTTATTTCCTCAAGTAACTAGAAACTAAACCCAGATGGCAGCATTTGACTGAAATCTCAGCTAAAGAAATCTGCAGTAGCTTTAACTGTTCCTCCATGTAGGAAAAAGGCAGATCAGATGGTGATTATTGGTAAAGTTTGGTAGGAAACGGTTTTATTGTCTCTGTTTGTCTCAGTTCTTCAGGAAGGACCAGGGGGATTTCTTCATCGGCTGCTTGTTCCTGACGGAGCTCAGCACGCCCTTCGTCTCCCTGGGGAAGATCCTTATCCAGGTGAGACTAACACTATTGCTAATGCTAACTCCTGTTTACTGGGAGTACAGCCAGCTACTGGTGGAATTGTAAAAAGGTTCATGGGGTTGAGTATTTATTTAAAAAGGTTTGTTTCTTCAGATGAACAGAACTGATTTTTTTTTTGGTCAACACATGAATTATTGGTTATGTTTGTTTATTAATGCGAGTAAAAGGACTTATCTGGATTTTTAAAATATATAATAATAATGTTGGAGCAGTTGGAAACTTGGAGAGTTTAATCTGACTGATGCTTCAGATATTTTCCAGACTCAAAATGAAAATTAGACCCAAATATTAACAGATTGTCGAAACATTTTATGAGTTTTATTTTGGAGCTGCTGACTTCCTGGTTTGCCCCTCTGACAGGAAGTGATTGATGTAAGCTCTTCAGCTCTGGTCTTTTACTGAAGCGGGTCGATCGTTTCCCCTCAGGGCCTCATGAGGAGCGGTGATTACTGCTGCGGGACGAATTATTCACCTCTGAATATGATTTATTTCAGCTGCTGAAACTGGACCAGAACAACAAACATAACGAGTTTTACTTTTAATCAGAACCGTGCAGCAGCAGCGGTCTAGTCACAGGTTCTGTCTGTTCAGAGCAACAACAGACCAACGAGAGCTTCAAATTTCTTGGGAATCTGAATATTTATGCAGAACTTTAACAGAAAACTCGATTATGTTGTTTATTTTGACATTAAATTAAATTTATTTTCATTTGAAGAGCAGTTTGGCCTGGAAAGGTGTATGTAAACTTCTGGTTCCAGCTATATTTCAGCAGCACAACAAACATCAGAACTCGGTCCAGTTAGAGGTTCTGATCCGGTCCAGTGAGAGGTTCTGATCTCTGTAAACCCAGTGATTCATTCGGATCTCTGCTGACCTCTAGTGTCAACAGGAGGAACTGCGATGCTGCTGCTCCAGTCAGATCAGAACCTAGCAGACGTGTTTATTGGGTCGTTTGGTTCTGGTCAGATGACTTCCTGTTGTGTCTGGACCGCCAGGAAGTTCCCTCCTTTTATCAGAACCATGAAGCTCATTGGGCTCCTGCAGGTCTGGAGGTTTAACTAGAAGAAACATGAGAAAATTCAGAGACTTAAACCCGATCCAACCTTCCTCCAAGACATTTTTCCTTCTGCTTAACTTTCTGTTAGTACGCTGAGATACACAGGGATCTGTCTTTCTTCCTTCTTTTTCTTTATTGTTTTTTTTTGTCTTGATTTCTTTTTCTTGATTTTTTTCTTAATATTATTTCTTGATTTCTGTTTTGATTTTTCTTGATTTTCTTAATTTTTTCTGAATTTCCTTTTTCTTGATTTCTTTGATTTATTTCTGGATTTATTTCTCTTTTTTTTCCTTCTGTTTTGATTTCTTTCTCTTTTGATTTTCTTTTTGTTCTTTATCTCTTTTTTGTTCTTTCTCTTTATCTCTATCCTTCTTTCCTTTCTCCTTTTTCTTTCTTTCCTGATCAGAATCTGTTTCTTTAAATCTGGACATCAGAGGCTGAAATGAATATTTCTCATAAACGATGGAGAAAACTCAATGATTCATCTTTAATTCGGACCTCGGGGTTTGATGATGTCAGCTGAGTTTTCTTTAAAAGCATTGTTACATCCAGCGGTCCCAACCCGTCCTGGCACGATTCTGACTAATAGAACCTCTGACCGGGTCGGCTCATTAAAACACACCGACGTTCCCCACATGTTGGCGCTCATTATCCAGATTTCCTCCTGCAGCTCTGATGGATGGAAACTCACAGAACAACAGAGCAACCAAAACCGACCCGACCCGACCCGACCCGGGTCATCAGCATGATAAGAAAGCTTCATCAGAACGAAGCTTCTATTAACGAGTGGAGGGTTCTGATGCAACGAGTCCAACATGAATTAAAGCTAAATTAATCTGAATTTATCTAAAAATTTCTGTTTTCTAATAAATTACATTAACAGTGAAACTCCGCTGTACCTCTTTCTACCACATAGTAAGCTTGTATATACTGAGTTCCTGTGCAGTTTGGAAACATCTGGAACTAGATAGTGACGCGGCATCACTTCCTGTTTGACCCCAATTATTCAAAATCAAGCTTTGTGTTGTGTTTAAGGACCCAAAATAAAGTGGTACTTTTCAGTTTTCATCCATGTATTTTATGATCAGGTCGTCTGCTGGTTGAATTTTAATGTCTTCTTCCTCCTCTTCCTCTTCCGCCCCTCCAGCTGAGCCTCCAGGACTGCTGGCTGCATAAGGCCAACGGCGGCATGGTGCTGCTGACCTTCTTCATGTGCCGCATCGCCCTCTTCCCCTTCATGTACTGGATGTACGGCCGTCACTACGGCATCCCGCTGCACGCTGTTCCCTTCCACCTGCCGCTCGCCACCAACCTGGGTAACTGCTGCATCCTGGCGCCGCAGCTCTACTGGTTTGTGCTGCTGGTGAGGAAGGGCTACCGGCTGTACCTGCGGAGCCGCGGGGCGCCGCCCGCCAAGGAGGATTGATGCTGCGGCTGCGCTAACTGGACCCGTTACGGTACTGTAGTTCACCAGGACTGCCTGCTCTCTGTCGCTCCTCCTGGGCCTCCATACTCCAACTCCTCTGTAACAAAGCTGTTGCCTGAAGGACCTCTCACTCTGTCTGATTTTACTGCACTCTGAAGAAAGGTCACATTCACCTCATTGAGAGCGGGAGGCGGAGCTTCCTGGAGACTTTCTCTGATCTTTCACTCCTGCTGTTTCTACAGCTGCTGCTGTTGGAGAGGTTTGTTACGGCATTAACTGCTAGCCACTCGTGGTTGGTGGTTATGTTACAGCTCTGATGTCACGTCTCCTGGGAGCGCCTCATCCACATTTAAATCTGTTACAAGTCTGCATTAATATTCCAACTACACTGTTTATTTTTAAACTTTATTGGGGCGATTAAACGTTTCTGAAATTTCAGGGTGGCAGAAGTTTCAAGGGCTTATTTTTAGGATCTGATTTCATCGTTAAAATCGGAAACGGATTGGATCATCCAGGAGTTTTTTTTATTTACTGCTGTGTGATTTTTCTAATGTGAATTTCCTTTTTCATTGCATAATCCTAGTTTAGGTTGCACTGGAGGAGAGCGGGGTTAGGGCAGCTGGGAAGAGGCAGGATGATGATGGCTCAGGTTCTGGTCCAGTAAGGCTAATGCTAGCTTCTTAGCTGGACTTATTGTCCAGAAACCCAGTTTATTAACAAAAAGAAACAATTCAGCATGCCACCTTTATTAAGTCATCACAAAACTTCAACAGCCACATTTATTTAGTTATTTTTTCCACATTTTTTCCTTTATTTTTTCTTTTTCCACACTTTTACTTTATTTTTAGTATTTTCACATTTTTTCCTTTCTCAAATTTTTTCTTTTCTTTTTTATATTTCTTTTTTTTCTCTCTTTTGTTCCCAACAGTTTCATTAAAACCAGAAAAATGTAACACTAAAATATTCAAACCAACCAATCACGTGTGCAGATGAGCTGACCAATGAGCAGTCAGGGGGCGGGGCTTGCAGTGTGGTTGTAGCAGAGGCTCACTCTGTGCTCAGCTGAACCACTTAAACATTCAGACTCTGTTTTTCTCCTCCTCAATTCAGATCAGCTGTTTGAAGTTTTGTTTGAACCCCGTTGAGCCCCATTCCCGGACATGTCGCCCTGCTAACGAGTCTGACATCAGGAGATCAGAGGTCAGCCTCTCAGTGGTTCCATCAGTTTTGTGTGAACTTCTTTATCAGTGGCTGCCTGAAGCACTTAACAGGAATGACTGTATATGAAGATTTAAAGATTGAAATCATGTTTTATTTTAGCTTGAGGACAGTTTTCTAACTCAAAATGAACCTGCTGAACATGGGAGGACCATTCCCTCATCCTGGTAGATATTTATCTGAAAGATAATCAACACTTATTGATTAGTTGTAGTTTGTTGTCTATATCATTAAAATATCTATAGAAAAGCTAATTATATTTTACATCTAGGGTTTGAAGACATGACGACTTTGTGTGTCAGATGATCTTATTGTTTCCTGTAACTTCTCTATGCAACAGAGGCCTCTGCAGCGCCGCATGCTGCGCCGCAGTCAGCCATAACGAAATCATCCTTTGACATAATAATCCAACGCTACGTTTCTAACTTTCCCGTCTGGTTGGTCAGATTTAAAGCTATAGGGTCATTATTGAAAACCGGATCAGGATTAATGTACTAGGCTACGTTCACACAGCAGATCTGGATTCTAAACGCTTATTTTTAATTTTTGTGCCACCATTCATGACACTAATTAAATACAACCACAATCAGTTTTCTGTGTGAGCGGTTTGTGACACCAAAATGAAGAAGAACGTAGCCGTCTTCCAGCAGTGCTCTGTCTACAGCAGTAAAGATGGCCGCCGCAGCACTCTGAATGGGTTTTAAAGTTATTCATAACCGACGGTATGGCCACCAGATCAGAACCGGATCACATCAGCTAACAAAACAGAAAACCCAGCTCACAGCAACGGCCTTTAGTGGAGAATCAGTCCGGATGGATGAAGTGAGGCCTGTTGCTCTGATCTGTTAACAGTTGGCTTCCTGGACCCAGCCTTGGGGATGGAGTAGAGCGTCTCCATGCTGGGAACTCTTTCCACCTGATAGTCCGGTAGATTCAGTTCTGTTGAAACCAAAACTTCACCATGTGATCCATCTCCAGCTGCTGTGGTTCTCTGGTTCTTGGTTGGTCGCTTGGAGACTGCAGCTAGCTTAAAGCTACTGTTGCTGGAAGTTCCAACCTTCATCCATAGCCAGTTGATTTCTGGGCCGGTTTTTGCCTGGTGCAGAACCGTGAAGCAGGCCTAACCAGATCTGACTCCATCTTCAGTGATTATCCAGCATTGCTAACACAGGCCTCAGTGATATAAGCTAGCAGAGCAAGCTAGGTTGTAGCAGAGCATGGGACTAAGCTGAGCCAGGAAGTGCTTTGTTGTTGTCTGGATTACTGATAGGATCAGTCAGAGTTCTGATCACTTCGTGGTTCTATTTCCTCCACCCACAAGCTAACAGAACATGGACACTTCGGTGTTTCAGATCATCAAACCAGGTTTTATATTAGACAAAGAGAAACAGAGTAGATACAACCTATTCATTAGGACCTGTCTGACAGCATGAAGTAGGCAAATCACATATCTGAAGAAATTCAAGGAACAGACTATAAATAAACATCCATCAGTCTGGAAAGAGTTACAGAACTGTCTAGAAGGTTCTGAGTTTCCAGAGAACCTCGGTAGAACCGGGATCCACACATAGAGAATCTTTCCAGGCTAAGCTACCAGAATGACTCCAGGAAAACATCAGGGACTCATCCAGGAGGTCCAAAAGAACCCACAGCAAAATTTTTATGACGCATTGGCTGGAACCATAGCTTCTCCCTTAGTTAAAGTCAGAGGTCACGACTGAACAATAAGTAAGAGAAACTGGGCAAAATGGCTTCTATGGGAGTGATCTAAGACCAGAACCACTGCTGACCCAAAACAGCACAAAGACTCATCCTGATCTTTCTGGAAGGTTTTGGTTCCGTTACGTCTGAATTAAAACATCAGCATTTCAGAACCATCCCTACATTCAAACACAGTGGTGGGGGCATCATGATGTGGGACTGCTTCACTGCTTCAGGACTTGGTGGATGGAATCATGAGTTCTGCTATTTGTCCGACCGTCGGTCAGGTCATGTTCTTAAACTCTGTAATGTCTCAAAAACCAAAACAGTGGTTTTGGAGTGGCTGAGTCACTTTAGCACGCCCTCAAACAGGTTAATCCAGCTAGAAAACCCTCCAGTGTCTGAATGAAATTAATTCAGTAAAGCAGCAAGGGTCAAAGTTCCTCCAGAGAGACTCATGAACACCTGGTGGAACCAGCAGTTTGGAGGTTTGGGGTGTGAATACTTTCCCCAGCGGACTGGGCGGGTTTCCTTTGTCTCACATGAAGTCTGGTTTGGTGATCTAAATCGTTGAAGTATCTCCTTAACTTGCTGAAGCGTTCCTGCAGATCATTCCTTTCTTCTCATTCGCTGGAGCCAGTCAGGTTAGAGTCCTCTGCTGCCCCCTGCTGGTGAGACTCATCCCTCCAGCCTCATGTTTTCCTCCATTCAGCTTCCATAAAACGTGTTGAAGAACAGGAATATGTTGCTGCTTCATTAATACATATTCTAAGGTTTTAATAAACCAGATACCTCAAACATTAATTATTCCTTGTTTTGCTTTTAAGATGAATCTTATCCGTTCTGAGAGCAGAAACCAGAACTTAAAGAAATTAATCAACCCATAAAAAAATCTGAGCCTCACATCCTCAATCGCACACATGTAGCATTTTTATTTAAAAACATTTTAATTAGTTTTTAATATTAATGTATTTGTGAACACATTAAGCATATCTTTATTTGTATGGCAAGTCACTAGTATCAAAAGTAAATCATAAATAACAGGATGTGCAGATTATAGGGCATTTTCACCAATTCATCTCGCCTTACCAGCTATTTTTAAACCATAAAACATTATTAATCTTTAACAGGAATGTGTTTCTTATTTAGTACACTGCTGTAGTTTTCCGTTTTGTTTTATAACTTGAACTTATGTTTTAGTGATTCTAAACTTGTAGTGATCAATTAAAATACCCTAAAATCCAGGAGGAAAGCACAAAAAAAACTTCTCGTTAATAAAATATGCACAAAGCGCCATTATGTCACTGTTGGTAAATAAAAATCAACCAAAACAAACAAAAGAAAATTATTAGAACAGGGGCGTCCAAACCTTTAGTCACTGGAATCTAAAGTACTCGCAGGCCAAAAATAAAAATAAGAAAATTAATTTTGTTTTCCGGTTTGTGAGAAAGGAATTTTATTCAATACAAAAAAAAAAAAAAAAAAACTTTAGAAGGATTTAATTATAAGAGAGGAATCTGGCTTCCAAATTATTTTTGGCTTGATTGAACAAATTTATTCTCAGTTATAAAAGCAGAATTTGGGTCAAAATGATTATGTTTAGCCTAATTTAATAAATTAAATAAAAGCTGGTTTAGGTGCAGGAAATTTTACTTTTCTGGATAAATGTTGTTCTACTCTTAAAAACCTGGAAATTAAAAGACAAACACTTTGTGTTGTACTGAACATTTTCCATTGTTAAAATATTATTTCTGTATTAATTTTACCTTGATTGAAAATATAATGCTGGACACCCTTAATGCATTAACATGCAGATTACTTTTTATACCAACCGCTTGCCATATATCCAGCTCATCAAAAGCTTTCAGTAATAATCCAGAACTTTTTTAGATCCATAAATTACAGTCCTAAGTAAACCAAAGAGTGCTGTTTATGGTGAGAATATAAAGTCAGATTTTTAATTTCAGTAAACTGAACTGACCTTCAATCTGTTTAACTTTATTTTTAGCATCTAGCCGTAAAAATACAGACTTCTATTAAAGTTTTATATTATAAATTCTGTTTTTCATTTTTGAAAATGGAGTTGGGCTGCAAAACAAATTCACCAGGATCTTCTAAATATTATTGGACGTAGTTTAGACTTGCAGGGCCACTTTATTAGGTACACCTGTTTTATGACTTCCCAACACAAAGCTGCTGAGCTAACTGGGATTTTCACCTACAACATGTTTTCCTGTTGGTTTATCAGCCGACTTCTTTAGAAAAGACAAATGTGATTTTGATTTATTCAACCTGTTTAAAAGAGCAATCCAAATTCTGTTATGTCTGACAATAAGCTGTACATTTCTCTAACTGGATATTTTTATGTTCATAACGTGAAAAAGTCTTAAGTTTTGGATCTACTAATATTTAAGCTTCCTCTTTCTGTTTTCAAAAAAACATAAAATAAACTGACTTTTTTTTTCCTTATTTAATCAGAAAATTACTGTAATATTGTGTGGTTTTAGAATTTTGTTTTG